CTCTTGTCTGTACAGCAAGTACTTTACCAACTGAGCCATCTCCCCAGCCTCACTTTTTTAAAGTGGTATACCTCTAGGTAGCTCAGGCTAGCCTCAAGGTTTTGATCCCCCTTCCCTCTGAGTGAAGGGATCATAGGCAACGGTTTCCATGCCCTGCTTGGCTCTCTCTCTCTTAAGGAGCAACCGTGTGACCCCCTTCTGGCTGCTTTGGTCCCCTGCCTTTTCCTTGCATCTCCATCCCCTTCCTCTCCACCTCCTCTCATTAGACGAGAAGATCACAATTGATGGCGTCACTGGCGCCAGCTTGTGTTTCCCCTGAGGACCCTTGCTGTCCTGCTTGGAGCCTTACATGAGAGAATGAGCCCACCAGAAGCCACTGTGTGGAGAGTTTGGCTGGTGAGAGGTAGCTGTGGAGCCAGACAGTGTGGGTGGATTCATGTGTTGACTCTGTTGACTGGGTGCACTGACTTTAGCAAGACTTAGTTTCTTCATTTGTAAAGTAGGTGATGATTGGCCAACTTCAGTAGAGACATACGATGTGTGTGAGGCGCTGAGTGGCACCAGGAGCTGCCATGTCATTGCTGAAGGTGAAAGCTCCGCTGACAAACATTTACTAGTCATCAGAACAGGGTGTTGCGCGGTCCCCGCTACCGTGGAGCACAGGTTCAGATGCGTGAGCCAAACAGGGAGATGAATGGGCAGATGGGTGTGTGACTAAATGGGAACATTGGTAAAGGTGATCACTGTTTGGGGGACATGATAAGAAGTGTGTAATCTCTGGTTCTTAAAAAAACTCTCTTGGGGGCCGAGGAGGAGAAGGCTTAGTGGGTGAAGTGTGCTTTGCATGCAAGAGGATCTGGGTTTGACCCCCCAGAACCCATGACAAACAGAATCAGGGTGTGGTAGTAGCCACTTATAAACACATACATACACATACACACACACAAATACACATATACACGTGCACATACATTCCCATTGAGCATGTGCCAGTTTTGTTGTAAAACTCTTCCCATCAATGAGTACATACCATGTTTGTCTTTTTGCGACTGGGTTACCTCACTCAGGATGGTTTCTTCCAGTGCTATCCATTTCCCTGCGAATTTCAAGATTCCATTGTTTTTTTCTTCCCATCAAGGCTGGGGACACACAGGGTGCCCACTGCCTCCTGGAACCCTGAGCATTTGGTGGTTGCTGTTCACATGGCTGAATGAGCCCTGGGCAAAGGTGCAACCTGTGGTTTATCTGGAAAAGAGGCGAAAATCTGCATCCAGACAGAGACAGTGGCTTCGCAAAGGCCCCGAGGTCAGGATGAACTTGGTGCTTTGAGCTAAGGCGAGGAATCAAAAGCTGGGGCCGGATGGACAGAGGAGGCAGGGGCTGTGCTGAGGCTGGGCTTTGGGGGAATTCGGTGACTACAGGCAGCAGCTAAGTTGGGAGGCCACAGGAAGTCTTCGGAGGGTTTGTAAGCAGGGGAGTGCCCGGATCTGATTTGCATTTTTAAAAGATTACTCAACCTAGTCTCTGAAAGACTCAAGAGGCCAGCAGTGTGTTGACAGCCGCCCAAATGAGAGGCAGTGCAATGGCGGCTTGGTTTGGAATGCCAACAAGGGAGGAGATGGAGCGGCTGGCCTTGATTAGCACATGGCCTCCAGCTGTTCCCCATGTGTCCTCCACTGCGCACCCGGCTCTTGTCACGGGAGGAGGAAGCAGTGCACTAACACTCACTGCCGCCCTGCCCGCCTTGCTTCTGGCACCGAGGACCGTGTTTACCGCCTCTGATGAACCAGGGAAGCCTGTTAGGAAATACACGTATCTTGGGCCCCCACACAAAGCCCTTGTGACAAGAAAACAATCTCCTCTTGGTGTAGCCTTCCTTGTTTGATCTGTGCCGAAAGCAGTGGGTGATCTGCAGATAAGTGGCTTTGGCGGACTTCACCTTTGCCTGAGGCTGCTGCTCTCCTGTCAGTGCTGTGGGTGTCAGCCCAGCAAGCAGGCCACCCTCCAGCTCAGCTCTCACCCGCAGCCTGTCTCTGTGTGGCTTCTAGCAGGGGCACGAGAGCCCGGGTTCCCATACCATTCAATAGAATGCTCTGGAAGATGGATGGAAATTGGTGATCACACTGTCCACGGTGGTGGCTGCTAGCCACATGTGGCCAGAGAACATTTAACATGTGCTGCGTGGGACTCAGAAACTCTTCTAGTTTTACTCTGTTGCCGTGATAAAATGCTCGGACCGAAAGCAGGATAGGGGCTTCGTTCTCAGCCTCCAGGTCACACGGCCCATTATCGAGGGAAGCCAGGGCAGGGACTTGAGGCAGAAACCTTGGGGGAACACTGCTTGCTGGCTCACAGGCTCATGCTTCCCCAGCTTTCCTATGTAGTCAAGTCACCTGCCTAGGGAATAGTGGTACCCACAGGAGGCTGAGTCCTCCTACAACAATTAATAAGCTACCCCCGCCCACACCCCTAGACCTGCCCACAGGTCAAAATTAGATCTGGGCAACCCCTCCTCAGGTGACCCCAGGCCATGTCCAGTGTGAGACTGGGTCATTGAACAGGGTTATTCTAGACCATGCCCATCACACCATAGGAACTTGTTCCTTGTCATTGGCCTCTTCAGTTTGCAAATCTAGGGATGAAAGGACAGAAAGAGGATGCTGGGAAGTGGCTGGAACTCAGGACCAGGTTCTCAGTTCAGCACGTCTTTGTCCTTTGTGGTTTAGTGTGTACTTACTCTATTCCTCTTGTGTTGTGAGGCATGACGTCCCCGTCCTCTTCGGCCAGCTCTGCAGTCCGGGACCCCTCTTCTTCCTTCACGGGGGTCACAGCGCCGTCTGTGTGGAGTGCTCTTTCCACACCCTTTTCTCCCGAGTCTGTCAATGTGGAAATGGATAGAAATGTTCTGTATTGTCTCATAAAGTGTAGGTTTTGACACTTTTTGTTTCCCCTTAAAAAAGGAAAACCAATACATTTATTTACAGACCACAGCTTGCTTGTGAACATTGGGGGAAAATCCATGGGAGTTGAGGCCCCTGGGGCGTACGTAGTAAGTGCCTTCACCCACGGAGCCCTCTCTCTGGTCTCAGTCCTCACCCCCAACAACACGACTTTTGGAGTCAGTCCATGGAACATATGCCTTTTGAACTGCTGTGTAGAGTGGTGTTGTCTGGGTCCGCCACTCTTGTCCAGCGCGTGTTTTGTCTGCATGAGGCGTCCCCAAGTTGTATATTGATGGTGTATGACTGGGTCATGGGGTGTCTGTTGCCAAATACGTGTGCCGAAACTCCAAAGCTCCTGTTATACAGGGTTCCTCTGTGTAGCAGCCCTGACTGTCCTGCAATTCCCTCTGTAGGCCAGGCTGGCCTCAAACTCACAGAAATCTGCCTGCCTCTGTCTCCCGAGTGCTGTGATTAAAGGTGTGCACCACCAACGCCCGGTGTAACTCCAGAGCTCTCTGTGGTAGTAGCATGAAGTTAGGGGTGACTGTTAGAGGTGGGTCTCAGCCTCGTCACCCCTCCTTGTGGACGGTCTTCAAGAGTCTTTGTACACTCCACAGGTTGACTGCCTCCTACGTGTGATGTGTATTTTCTTCTGAGCCTTAATTAATTTTGACTAGATTGATTGCTCTTTATTTTTTTAAAGTATAAAATCAATCTGTACAAACTGGGGTATTGTCTTGTGAAAAGAGAGTTCTGTCTATAGGTGTTCTTAGATGACCTTGGTGAACTTTGTCAACAAGAGCTGTGTGAGTGTCTCTAGGCCCCTTCCTCCCTCCCTCCCTCTCTCCCTCCCTCCCTCCCTCCCTCCCTCCCTCCCTCCCTCCCTCCCTCCCTCCCTCCCTCTCTCCCTCTCTCCCTGCCTGCTTTCTCTCTCTCTTACTCTTTGTCTCTGCCTCTGCCTCTTGGAGACAGGGTTTCTCTGTGTAGCTCTGGCTGTTCTGGATCTTGCTCTGTAGACCAGGCTGGCCTTGAACTCACAGAGATCCTCCTACCTCTGCCTCCCGAGTGCAGCCATCAAAGGGTGTGTGCCACCACCGCCTCTCTCAATAATCACTGGAGTTGTGCTTTTCATTGTATTATTTTCACGTTGCTCGGTTCTTCTCTAACATCTTATTTTTATTTGCACGTGTTGATCACATGTACTAGTTGGTTTCATTATGGTGTCTTTACACCTGTACAGCGAATTTTTATCACATCCACCCTCGCTATGACCTCCTGTCCCTCTTCCCACTTAGTCCCTCCTACTTTCATCTTTATTTACGTGCTTATTTATTTTGATGACCCAGTGTCATTAGTGCTGTGTACATGGGACACGGGGACCTGAAGAAATGTCTCTCCCTCCCCAGCTACCATTAACCCCCTATGGATTCTCAAAGAGGGACCTGGTCTCAAGAGTCCCTCCCCCAGAGATGTTGTTACCTGGGTCCTGAGGGTGGTTGGTGGGAGGGTCTTCAGATTGCTTTCTGTCCTCGCTTTCCCAACCCTTTGCCAGTGACTAAGTACTGATCTAGGTTCTTTCATGTGGCTGCTTAAAGCTTTTATATATGTGTGCGTATGTACATGTGCATACACACACACATATATATGTATATATATATAATTTTATGTATATGAGCATTTTGCCTGTGTCTACCACATATGTACCTGGTGCCTGTGGAGGCTAGAAGAGGGCGTGGGATGGTCTAGAACTGGAGTTACAGATGGTTGTGAGCCTCCATGTGGTGCAGGGACTCTGGCCTGGTCCTTTGTGAGAGTAGCCGTGCCCTTAACTGCTGAGCCCTCTCTCAGTCCCTCAGCGTCCATTTTTGAGGAGATCCCTGTGACTTATTTGAACAGTGGCTCTGGCCGGACACCAAGGCTGTTTCTGGCCATGCATCCATGCAGGTCACACAGCAATCCCACCCTGTCTCACTGCCCGTGTGTTTTTCTGATCTTCTCTGGTGGCCAGACTATAGCAGTCTCCCCAAAATAAAATAAAATAATTTTTTCCTCCCTTAGCTCCACGGCTACATGGAGAACAAGCCCCTGGGGCTTCAGATCTTCATTGGGACAGCCGATGAGAGGATCCTTAAGCCACACGCCTTCTACCAAGTACACAGGATCACTGGCAAAACTGTTACCACCACCAGCTATGAGAAGATTGTGGGCAACACCAAGGTCCTGGAGATCCCCCTGGAACCAAAGAACAACATGAGAGCCACGTAAGGCTGGCAGGGACAGGGCTTCCTGGGGAAATGATCAGGGCCTGAGGGACAGGGGGCATCTCAACGTGGGTACCACAACAGCCATTGGTGGTACTGTCCAATCTTGGAGCCACCCATCTGTTTTTCTTTTTAAGAAGTGTTATATGAAAGCTGGGTGTGGTGACACACACCCATAACCCTAGCGCTTGGGAGTGAGGATGGAGGCAGGAAACCAGACCAGCCTGGGCTACGTGAGATCCCGTCTCAATAAGTAAAACAAAAACAAAGATGGATGGGACCTAAAGAAAAGTTTCAGTGACAACACAGAAGGTCACTCGTGTGGCGCTTCTGCCCGTGGCTAACACTGGCCACATGGCACATATGTGTCAGCATCAAAGAACCTTTTTTTTTTTTTTTTTTTTGGTTTTATGAGACAGGGTTTCTTTGTATTGTTTTGGAGGCTGTCGGTCTAGCCCGGCCTCGAACTCACAGAGATCCGCCTGCCTCTGCCTCCCGAGTGCTGGGATTAAAGGCGTGCGCCACCAACACCTGGCCTATTTTGGTTTTTCGAGACAGGGTTTCTATGTAACTTTGGAGGCTGTCCTGGAACTCGTTCAATAGACCAGGCTGGACTCAAACTTACAGAGATCTGCCTGCCTCTGCCTCCCGAGTGCTGGGACTAAAGGTGTGCGCCACCACCGCCCTGCTCAAAGAACCTTTTATGAGGAAACAAACTCAGGCCTGCAGCAAGGCTGTGGGAGGGGGGGAACAAGATCGCTGGGGCTCTGACCCATGGCTAACAGGGTCCACATTCCCTTCCTCTCTCTTCTGTCTCATGCCGTAGCCCCGAGTCCTTTGAGAGGTGGCCGGTCACGCCCTTGCCTTTTACAGACCTTGGTGTGCATTTCCAAAGAGCAAGGTGCTTTCTTATTTGTTGAATTCAAGAGACCTCAATACTCTGATATGTGTGGAATAGCTCTGGCCAGTCCTTCCAGCTCTCCTGGTGCTTTTGAGAGTAGAAGCCTCCATGAGGAACATTTCCCTAGAGAAACAGTCTCCACTCAGGAGATGATCTAAGTACCCTGTAAAACTTTTTTCTTTTTCTTTATAAAAATTCGGCCTCTTGGTTCTGGTTATAATACCCCGGGGGTGGGGATGTGCAATTCCCCGGTGACTGTTGGGAGAATGCGTTTGGTTGGCCACCTTAGGCGGGTTTGTGGGTGATCTTTTCTGCTCAGTGAAACGGTTCTTATGACGGGGCTCTCCCCCGTGCAGCATCGACTGTGCAGGCATCCTGAAGCTTCGAAACGCCGACATTGAGCTGCGGAAGGGCGAGACAGACATCGGCAGGAAGAACACGCGAGTGCGCCTGGTGTTCCGTGTGCACGTCCCGGAGCCCAGTGGCCGAATCATTTCCCTGCAGGCGGCGTCCAACCCCATCGAATGCTGTAAGTCAGGCCTCAGGGCTGTGTCTCTGGGGAATGGGGCCACATGAATGTCCACCCTGGGCAGGTGGCCTGTAGAATTCCATGGGACTTGCAAGGACATACAGTTGGTCTGTGGTGACCAGAAGGGCAGAAGCTGTACCTCGGGAGGTATTGGTCTTTGCTTTTATTTGCTTTTGTGGAGACTTCTGTGGCCTCACGGGAAATAAAAAATAAGGACAGTTAATGGAAGGGAGCTGAGAGGAGTTGATGGCTTTGTTTAGAAGATTCAAAAGTTTAAATATTGCCTTGGTCTCCTGACACATTTGCAATTAAGTTCCTGGAACACACATAGTCTTTCTTGTCGTCCATTCTCTGTGCCCAAGAAGCTTATAGTCTAGTGAGGGTGAAGGCCCCACCCCAAAGATGGTTGTAAAGTTAGAGAAAAATTTCAAGCCTGGTATGACGTTTCTGAGAACTTCCCTTGGGAAAGATGCTGAGCACGGCACATGGCTGGGTTCTGCCATCTCCACATGCCTGTGTATGTCTACATGTGGGTAGTACTGGGTATCGAACCCAGAGCCTCACGCATGCTAGGCAAGTGCTCTACCACCAAGCTACCTCTCCAACAGTTTTTTCCCCCCTTTGAGACAGGGCTTCTCTGTGTAGCCTGGACTGTCCTGGAACTGGCTTTGTAGACCAGGCTGGTCTCGAATTCACAGAAATCCGCCTGCTTCTGCCTCCCTAGTACTGAGATCAAAGGTGTGCGTCACCACTACCTGACTCATCTTCAACAGTTTTAAAATGTTTTTTTTTTTAATGAAGAGCGGGCTTGCTAAGTTGCTCAGTCTGGATTTGAACTCTCAGCCCTGTCTTAGCCTCCTGAGCTGCTGGTGTTATAGGCCTATGACACACACACGAGGCCAGATATCTGTTAGTGTTTGAAAGTTTAGTCATTCTTTTAAAAAGAATAAAGGAGAGGAAAGCAAACGTTGTTTCAGGGACAAGAACTGTTTGTTCGGCTCTTCTAGTTGGTCTTTAAGGTAATTTTATGTCATAAACATGTTTCGAGTTAAATTGCCTTCAGGGTCATCTCATTTGTTATTTTACTGGGCGTGGTAAAGGCTGACTTTGCTGTTATATGTCAGTGTCTTCCAGAAGCCAGGGAAATGTTGGAAATGAGGAAAGTGGCTGAGTGGAAGCAGACAGTAGGGTGCAGGGGAGACTGGGGACAGAGGGTGCCCTGACCTTCTCAATAGGCAGCTGTGAACCGACAGCAGCCCGTGTTCTCGTTTGGAAACATGGTGTATATGGCCAAAGCTGATTTTAAAAGACTAAACACGAACAACAACAACAAAAAATTCCTGGCTTAAAAAACAGCAATTGGGGAAGGCTTAGGCTCAAAGGTAGAGTCGGTCCTTAGCGTGCAGAAATCTGGTTCTGGCTTTCTGGAACATTCAGCTGCAGTGCTGATAAAAATGGCAGTAAATTCAAGAGACTCAGAGAGCCAGGCTTCTACTTATCTGGGTGGACTTGGGCCGTGACGGAACAGAGGGAGAGAGAGCAGGACCCTGTGCTGTAAGGAAGTACAGGACTGACCACCAGGGCCGGAAGCAAGGCCAGAGGGCTTGGGCAGTTACTAATGGAAAACAGCAAAGGGCCAGGGGGAGCTGTGGCTTAGCCAGGCGAAGCTGGGGTGCTGGTGAACCTGTACTCAGAGTTGGGAGACCAGAGCCACCAGCAGGGAGGGAGAGACGCAGGGTGACAGCCACCTTCTCACCCCTGTCCTCCGGCCTCAGGAGTGCTCCTGTCCTGTTTGGTTCTGAATGTCTCAGGATTGTTCTAGAAGGAAACACAGACTCTTCCTTTGTGATTTTTGGAGGCACTGAGTAGACAGGGCTCTCCTCTTTCAGGGTGGGACTGTGGTCGGCTGCAGGGTAGGGGCAGAGGACGTCTGTCAGTCCCTGCCCGCCTCCCCAGGCTCCTAGGGCCGTGTGCCCCACATCACTCTGAAGTCTTCTGGAGCCTTGGTGAGCCATGTGTGCCTTCAGCAAAGTTGTTAATGCATCTGAAAATCCCTTGAGCCTTGCAAATCTGTTGGTGCCCACCCCTCCCCGCCACCTCATCTTCTCCTTTTGACAGATAAGAGAACAGTCTTTCTTGGTAAAGTGATTCACCATTTTACTCAGCAGCAAAATTGGAGTTCCAAACTTTCCAGTTCCACGAAATACCTTCTTTTGGCTTTTCTTATGCAGTTTTTCGGTAGAGCCACCCTCAGCTGATGGCCAGCTACTATCCCTCACTCAGTCCTCTGTTGGTTTTATCGTCTGCTTTGTTCTGTTCTAGACCCATTCAGGGACGCTCCATATGAGTTACTTTGGCTGGTTGGTTTGGTTTACAGCCTGTAGGGAGATAATGAATACATATTGACAATTAGTGACTCACACCTGTGGACACAGAAGGGGAGGATAAATATTTATTGTCTAATTGACTTTACACCGTTGGGGAGGATGAGCTGGTAAGAAAAACAGAGTGGGCTGACCCATATTTACAAGGCTAACTTATTTATTTTGGAACGGTGCCCCTGTGCCCCGGCTTGGAGAACAAGAACACGTTCATGAACATTCTGGTGGACACTGCTGCTTGGATAGTGGTCATGTTGCCTGACTGTTGTGTTTCTTCCTGCCGGACTCCGGCCTTGGGGGCTGCAGCTCCCTGCCGCACGGCCTGACACCCATGTTTCTCAGCGTCTAGGCGTTTCCCAGCCTCCTGCTCAATGGTCTCAGCCGTGGCCCCACCTCTGCATAAAGGAAAGCTTGGCTTCACCCTGGACTAGTTCCTTGGGCTGTCTGTGCAGTTGCCACACAGCGGCTTAAGCCTCTGAAATTTCTGCTTTCCCTAGATGTGGGACCAGAATCCTGCCATGAGGTTATCGCCCTGTTGGAGGGTCACACCTCACACATGTCTCTGCGTTCCCCTCTGTGTGTGCATGGCTTAGGTTTCTGCCCCCATCTTCAGCTCTGTTACTGATGAGGACTTGGCCCCACCCCATGCCTGGGTCTGGTCCCACCCCATTTTTAACTTGCTCACATGCAAAGAGCCTACTTGTGAATAAGCCCATTCTGGGTTGTCAGGTGCGGCCTGGGGTGAGGTGGTCACTGTTAGCCACAGCCCTTTCTGATGTGGTCCTCCACCTCCAGATGCTCCACGGCTCCCAAAGGGTGGAGTCTTCCTCCTCTTCCCCTTGGTTTGTTTGCTGACTGCTCCACACAGGCAGCAGGTGCTCAGGCCTGGCTGAATGAGCCCTAGAATCATGTGTGTCAAAAACACATGTACACAAGCATACACACATATATACACAAACAACACACATATATGCATGCGCAAATAACACATAACATACACACATATATACACAAACAACATACATATACATGTATAAATAACACATAACATATGCACATAAATAACACATGTGCACACATGCATGTATGCATATACACATACACATATAAACAACACTAATGCATACACATATGTATAAAAACCTATATATACTTAATATACATATGTACATATACATACATAACACATGCATGCTTGTACACATGTGCATATACATATAAGCACACATGTTTACACATATATACACATATACATTCATATGCATATACATAATATACATATATACATATACACATACTTAATATATGTATACATATATACACATAAACATACATACATATATACATGTCTATATGTACTCACACACATAAGTACTTACTTGCTACATATACATGTGCACACACATTCACACACACATAAATACATATATACATATACATGTGTATACTACATAAATATACACATTTACATGCATACATATGTACATAAACATATACATGTGCACATGTACACACAAGCACACATATGTACACACATAAATGCACAATTTACATGTATACATATATACACATAAAAACACATAAACATGTACATGGGTACACACATACACATAGGTACACACAAGCACACACATGCACCCTGTCTCCGTTTGGGCTATGGTCTGAATGGAGACTTTTAGGGAGGCCCCCAAGTGTCTGAAGTAGGACATGGAGAACTTATGGCCTCGTTCCCTCTCTCCTTGCCCATTACGGGGTTGGCTAACTCCTTATGCCCAGGCTCCTGCTGGAGAAAGTGTCCCCGAGCCCAGAGGCCTTGGGTCCCCCTTTGAGCACTGAGTACCACTTCCTTCATGTGCCTCCTGCAAGGCCAGGGCAGGTGTTTGGGGCTTGTCACTAGGACTGGCCTAGGACATTGAGGAGGTGAGGGAAGATGTCCTCAGAGGCTTCCAGTGGGCGATGAAACAGAGCGTATAATGCTGGCAGCCGGGACACGAGTCCTGCAGAGCCTCCGGTCCGTGACCCACTGCAGCCGTACTCGGGACCTGCGGGTTCTCTTTGTGCCCTGCAGTTTCATGGTGACGACCACATTTCAGGAAACGCCTAAAACAATTGTACCCTAGGCCCTGCCCACCCAGGGCACAGCATGAATTCACTTTGTTCCTTCTGCAGAGTGGGAGGGAGGTGTGGCCTTGTCTCTCTGACACATGCATTTCCATTGAGGTGTACTTAAGAAGCAGTGGATCACACAGAAGTGTCATATAGTCGAATGACTTTTGGCAATGGCAGACATCCTCATCGCCAGAATTCCAACCAAGACACAGAGCACTTGGCCCTGTCAGGTCCCTCTCAGCCCCTCAGCTGAAGCCGCACAGAGAGGCAGTCACTGATTTGCTACCTGTGATCCATGATGGACATTCCCAGCTCTGCAACTGCATAGAATGAATGCACAGAGTGTGTGGTTTGGGGTCCTGGTGTTTTCTCCCAGTTTGTTTCTGAACCTGTTCCTGCTGCTGGAGTCCATGGCTTGCCCTTATGGATGGTTGAGCAGTATTCAATTGTAGGAATACAATGGCTTAGTTATCAGCAGTGGGTACTGACCTGCTCCACAGTCTGGGTTGG